AGTCAGTGGGACTGCCCAGGATCATCCCATCCTGCTGGGAGCATCCCACCCCTGAGCATCCCCCCGGGACGGACCCCCCCGCGGCGGCTCACCTTTGCCCAGGCTGAAGACGAAGGGTTCGTTCCGATCGCGGCTGGAATCGAATTTTTTACCGTTGGCCAGTTTGCCTTTGTAGTGGACGTAAACCTTGTCCCCGATCATGGGGGACTCGTCTTCGCTCCCGGGTCGTTTAATGATCTGAGAGAGAGAAACCACCCGTGAGAAGGGAGGACACGGGACAGCTACGGACGCGTTTGGAGATAAATAGATAGACAGTTATTTTTATATAGAGAGAGATACACACACAAATATGCATTTTTATATACACACACACACACGCATGTATATATACAAACATGCATATGTATACACACACGCACATATATATAAAAATATATATACACGTGCACAGATATATAAATCTACATACACAATATATAAAGATGTATATACACACGCACGTATATAAATCTACACACACAATCTATAAAGATATATACACACACGCACATATATATAAATCTACACACACAATATATAAGGATATATACACACGAGCACAGATATATAAATCTACATACACAATATATTAAGATATATACACACGCACACATATATATAAATATACACACAATATATATAAAGATATATACACACGCGCACAGATATATAAACCTACATGCACAATATATAAAGATATATATACACACGCACATATATATATAAATCTACACACAGAATATATAAAGATATATACACACGCGCACGTATATATAAAGATCTATATACACACACGCATATATACACCCCGGTGCTGCTCTAAACCAAAGGAAGGCTCCAGGGGGAGTCATTTGGTTTTGTCCTTCCATCAGCCCCTAAAAATAAACGCCGAAGCGGAGCCCCGGCGGCGGAGCGGGAGAGGGCTGGGAGCAGAGACCTGCCCGTACTTTGCGGAGGTGTTTGGATAAACTCGGCGCTTCGAAACCTGAAGCGAAGGCGATTACTCTCGCTTTCTCTCCGTACGCGTTTTACTCGCAGGGGTGTGTCATTTCACTACTCGCCTCTTGTCAACACTTCTTTTTTTTCTTTCTTTTTTTTTTTTTTGAATGCTACAGCCTGGAACAAGCAGTTCTCGAGCTGAGGATGGAGCAGGGGAGGATGCTATTCTTAGAGGAAAGGTCCTATTCAACTGGAGAAGAGCAAGCGCCGGGGAGCAGAACTATCCAGAAATGGCCCTGAATATGAAAAAGGGGTTGTGGAGCAGACGGGATGACCTCAGTAATGTGCTCTTTCTAACGTCTCTGAGTCACACACAAAAATGCTTTGTGGATTTACAGCTAATAATCTGATTAGGAAACACAATAGCAGCGAAATTCACTGAGCAGCCTGAACCCATCTCTCTTAAACACCACTCCACCCTTCTTTCTCCCAAGTGATGCTCATCTCCTTTGCCTTTCAAATAAAATAAAGACAAAGATAAAAATAAAGATAAAAATAAAAATAGAAATAAAGATAAGAATAAATATAACAATAAGAATAAATATAACAATAAAAATAAAATTAAAAAAAAAAAAAGAAAAGAAAAAAAAAAGAAAAAAAAAAGCTAAAAAT